TGCATGTGCATGTCTCTCATCGGTGGATCTACCTAAGTGAAAGCGGTTTCCCATTTTGTGACTTTCATATACGCATGCTGTGAGTAGGATCATTGTCAGGGATTCGCCTCATTTCCTCTCAAAGCTGATCCTTCTGACACAAGGCTCAATACAAAAAATCACATATATGCATATCTTGATCTACATTTAACCCTACACTGAAATATATAAAACTGTAATATCGTGCCCTAGCTCAAACCAATCTTGAGGCATTCTAATCGAGCCTGAAACAAAGGAACCCCAAAACCTTTATCGGTAGAATGCTCCTTAACCGATCCTCACGATTCGGGGTTTAGTGACTTTAAGGGCACCAACTCCAGATTCCACATGGCACCGATATGGAGAGTCATGTGTTCTCAACTCCCATTGGGACTAAGAAGGCAAGAACCATAGAAAATCTCGGTGTAAAGGCCTTGAAAGCTCACAACCCCAGTGGACCCTACCGTCTAATCCAAATTGGTGACCAGCTAGGAAGTTTGAACCTGGGTAGGTCGTTACAATTATCCTGCAAAAATATTAAGATGCATTACTAACATAGTTAATTTTAGTAATGATGGTGTCAACAAGATCAGTTAATATGGGAAGAGATTATTTCCCATTTGCTAACTTTTCATGTGTTAGAGACCATTGGATTTTTTGGATTGTGCTCTAGTCTTTCAGAAATCACTGTGCTGACTCAGGGTTCGCCCTATCCCGTTTGGCTTGGAACCTTGGCAAGTCTCGAGTAAGAAAACAAGGGGCTTGAACTAGCCTCACCTTATTTTTTACATTTTTTTTGGTTGATTTTTAATACACTTGGCTGAGTCTCTTATTTTGGCTCGGCCAAGTTAGACAGGAAGACTTGGGCTTGGGAGTTGGGACACTTGCAAGTCCAAGCCTGATCCTTTGCTTTGAAAAACTTCTCTGAACTTAGATTTCTAGTTCCAAGATATATGTTAGTTCTTGTTAGTGATTGTTCTCGATTCCAATGTTTTGAGATTTAGGCTATTCAATCAACATAAAAAAAAAATGATTTAGGTTATTCAATCAATTATTGAAGTATTCTACAAGAAAATGAAAAATGCTTGAGAATTGATGATGGGGAAAGTAGATATCTAAGGGCATTATAACTTTTTGTTGGCAACTAAATTATGCTTACACTCCATAGAAAATGGTGTAAGCAATTGCAATTTAAGGCATCTTTCCCACAATTGTTTGAATCAAGAGCAGAATCAAAAGCGATTTAGGGATCAGAAGTAGGCCATTGTGAAATGCTTAGAAGATCTCTATGGTAAGGAGCACTATTTGTTAATGCATTTTCTAGGGATTCTGTTATGACCTTTTTGGGATGTTGATCCCTACCTTTATGGGATCACATAACCAGCTTTTGGGATCAAAGAAAGAAATTAAGACTGTAATACTTAATTTTACAAATATTCAGTAAGAACTAGAAGTAAATAGTGGAATATTGAGAAATAGAGCTATTTTAAGACAGCATTGTTTAATTTCGATCAAAATTAAATAGTACAGTATTGCTTCCCATCTTTTTGGGATCTCGCTCCTCAGCAGTGTTGGTCAAGATTCAAAGAGATCCTTGAAGATCCCTTTCCCAGAGTGCTGGATCGATATTTTGGAGCAAAATCGCCACTTGGGTTGTGTGATCCCTATAAATGGTATAATTTTTCCAAATGCTATTTGGAGTTGATACCATTCCAAATATTTGCCCATGGATTTATGGCCAGAATCTGAGTTGTGACCCATCCAAGTGAAAGCAACTCTCCGGCATTATTCCTGCATCGAAATTTGATAGCATTCGAGAGTGGGACGGAGTTAAATACACACAAGTCATGAGAAATTATTTTTCTTTTGTTTATGTATGTGTAAGAGCAGGGAATACAAAACATAGTATGTAAATGTCTACTTTGCGTAACCAAATCTGACTATAGTCATGGCTGCATTGTATATATATTTGTATACAAGGATGGGATTCGCGCATAACCCCTACTCATAGTTGTCAGCTGCTGGTGCATTCCCGGCATCGGGTCCGTAGAACCGTGGACTGCTGGAAGCTCCTTGTGGTTAGGATCGTTGTCCGTATGATCCTATATCAAGGGAGCGTGATCCTTGTCATAGGGAAGCGTGATTCCACGAGGAAGGAATCACAATAGTAAGTTTTGAGGGATTGTGAACGATGCTTGGGTTCACGGGTGCAATTGTCCACAAACCTTAATCAATGCATATAAATCGGTACCGAATAGAGAAAACATCATATGCGCTGTATCATACACTTGTGAACCGCTGTTCAAACCTGCTGGGAATGAAGATCACAATATAGGAATCCACGTTCCATCCAAAATCCCTAGCTGGAATCATGGGATCGAGGTTCTGAAGTGGATCCATGACCTTTCCTACAAGGTTCCAGCAACTATACCCCCTTGCTAGCTCAGGTGTTAAAAAGAACCAATTTATAAATCAAAATATCCATTTCTTGTTTCAAAATTTTCTGCCCTAAATATTATGTTGATATGCTTGAAGTAAAATAAAGTAGATGAGAAGCATGTCAGTTGTATTTTTATCAGGCATGAGTTATAGTGAAAGAGAATGGAGATGCTTTTAATTTCAGAACCCCTCTTTTAATTTCAGAACCCCTATTGCAACACTCTTTACATGACATTGCTTGGTGAATCATTTTCCAAATTGGTTGAAGGGACTAGATCTAGGTGGGATGCAGATCGTTCTAGAGAGAATATGCATTAGATAAATAACCCGAGTGATGAAGTTAATTATTAGGTGTTTAGAGAGTCCAATCAATTTCTTATAAGGTCCACTTAATATGCTGGTTCCCACTGCTGCGTGGTCTCTACATTGGTGGATGTAATTCTTGTTTTACTTGCAGATCCCATTGATGAGTGTGAACCATCTCATTTTGGAGATGCAAAGGGTACTTTGTAGTGGTTATCTGCTGAGGAGAAAGAACCTCCTAACAAGAAAGAAAGTTGAGATTTATTTCCATAGTCAAAGTGCCATATGAGGTACCATTCGTGTATTTCAAATGGTTATACCAACTTAAGAGTAAGGCAGAGAGGCCTTGTAGTTAGGTGCAAGGCCTGTTTGGTTTGAAGAAGGCTGTGGATTTTGAAGTAACTTTGAGCCTGGTTGTGAAGATGATCTGGTTCAGATCATTGTGTCGCCGTTGATGAAGTGGGGACGTTGGAAGATGTGGCAACTGGATATAGAAATGCTTTATGTGCTGAGAAGAAAAAGATATCTAATTGGCATGCCATTCCAGGTTGATTCCAGAAATTGTTTGTGTTGTCTCAAGAAGGCCCTCTATGTACACTATCGAGCAAAACCAACTTTTTCCTATGATGAAATTTTTACTCGAGGTTATACCTGATTTGTTTGTGAATGTTGCTCTAACTCATGTTCTAGCTGGTTTGTGGAAAGGAATGCAGGCTTATATGTTATTGTGTTCCCTCTTGTTTATGGCAATGATATTCAAATTGCATGCTACAGAGGAGCCTAATATTCAGATTGAAATGGAGAACTTGCTTATCCCTTCTCTTGCTCCAATTGAAGCTTCCTAAAAACATTTGGCTACAGTTTGGAGAATTCCCAGCCAGCAGAATTGGACTTATTAGCTGCAAGCATGTCCTAGGGAGAGTTTTAGGCATAGATACATGCTTCTGTTCATGAAAATGTAAGACTCTGTTATATCATCTTGTGTTAGATTGAGAAAATATGATGAGGTTAAATTATATTTGTTTAATGGGATATGAGTGGGGGACCGGTAAATTAGGAGCTTCCATCTTTAGTTGGCCTGCATTATGGAAATCAGTGTCACATGGACACGGACACGGGTGTCGGTGTCATAAGTGTCACTATTGTCTAGTACATCAGCCTAAAAAACTGACTCATTCCTACATTTATTTTTTTATAAATAAAATATTGTAGTTTATGATGTATACCATAGAGTATTATTAATGTATTTTTATAATATATAATATATAACATAATAATATACGAAATTGTTTCTCATTTCCTCATACCAAGCACGTGGAATGAAGCTTGATAGTATGAGCTGGGGTGACCCAAAAGGACCTGAATATGAGTAGGACCTGAATAGGAGTTCCCTACTTCCTTCATTGAACTTTTCTAGTACTTTATATGAAACCAGTGTCCCCATTTGTCTACATGTGTCGAGGTATGTGACATGGGGCCAGTGGCCACTGATTGAAATTCGTTATTCATTCAAGGAATATAGAAATTTGTTCCACATGAGATGCATATTTTGGTATATACTTCTTCCTTTAGGATTTAGGTTAAATTTATAGGAACTGTTGAACTACTGCCCCTAGAAGAGATCACTCTTCACTGCTCAGGTAGATTATGTGCATTGTTATTTTGTCAGATTACTTATTTTTAAGTTTCAATGCTTGATTAAATTTCACATTTTGGTGTAAGTTAATTGTGTTTGTAAGCATTTGAGTCTTTTGTATGCATTTACTGTTCCTGCATCTTTGTTGGGGAAGAATAACAACTTCTTGAATGCAAACTAACACTGAAATTCCCTTCAAGACACCTGGTTTACATCCCTCCCACCCACTTCACTTTCGTGAATTGAATTTACCATTTTCAGATGGATATGAAGAATTCTGGTTCATCCAGCTTGATCCCCTAGTTCTTTGGTTATCTAGTACTTCAAAGGAGTAATGAGCTGCTTGGATCCATGCTAGACAGACTAGCCATAAGGAGCATGGGAATAGAAAACATGTTTATTGCTTTGCCGTTGGTCTGATATGATGGATAGCACTAAAGTTTTATAAACTCAGATGCTGGTTTTGGATTTTTAACACCAACTTCATTACTCATTCCTGTTTCTCTTTTGCCATAAGTGTCTGTTTTCTGGTTTTATTCATTAGATAGGAAACTGCTCTTAGTCAAGAAAGTGAAGGGTTCTCTTCTAACAAGTGTTTTGTCAGGAAAAATTGGCATCTGAGGAGGAGCTGAAACCATTTACAGCTTATGCATCTCAAATGGCTGCCTTAGACTACATTGTCTCAGTTGAGAGTGATGTGTTTGTTCCCTCATATTCAGGCAACATGGCTCGGGCAGTCGAAGGTCACCGCCGTTTTTTGGGCCACAGGAAAACGATATCTCCTGACAGGTATGCTTGCTCAAATAGAAATACATAGTAGTTGTGGCTTGCACTAGCATGTGAATAGCATATGAATCTCTATGCTTTGTTTTCTTTTAATTTATTTATTTATTTATTTGTTTTTTGGTTTTCGTATTCCAGGAAAGCTCTAGTCCGCCTTTTCAATAAGATTGAGATAGGATCCCTCAAAGAAGGGAAACGACTCTCAGAGTTGATAATTGATATTCACAAGAAACGGTATACAGTTGGTTTACTATTTGGGGTGGTTGTGATGCTCATACTGTAACTCTTTTGGTTTATTTTCTTTTTATGTTGTTTATTGTAATTTACAGTCAGGGTTCTCCAAGGAAAAGGAGAGGTCCAATTTCTGGAACAAAAGGTAAAGAGAGGTTCCGATCAGAAGAGGCATTTTATGTGAATCCCCAGCCTGAATGCATATGTCATAAGGAACCATTGGGCACATTATCTCTGAACAATTCTCTAACAACTCTCTTGTAAGTACGCCAGTATAAGAGTCGAAAAATATCAATCTCCTAAGAAGGCCAAAGTGTGGAATAATGTTCTAAGAAGCAGCACAAAGAGTTGAATGGATGCACTTGGATTTTTAACCTGTAAAGCATATGTTATTTATTCAAGGTTTTCTTGAGAGCCATCGATTTTGAACCATGGCAGCGAAATTGTATATATGAGCTTTGTAGATGGCAAGTCCAATTGTAGATGGAAAGATGGGGTTATACAAAGTCATGGAACAGTTTGTTGAGTACTGCAAAAGTGCGAGAAATTTTTGGTGTCCGAGTTACTTCACCCATATCAAAGGTACAAAGGTATTTGTTGTTGCTCTTTAATGTATAATCTGTTGTTGCTCTTTAATGTATAATCTCTTACTCTACTGTTTCTCTCTTGCACTTTTAGGCGTGAATGGAACATATACATCAATCCAAAGAGCAAATTGAAATATATTAGTTTATGTATTTTGTTCGTGGCTTTGTGCATCTGCATGAATCTTGTTGTGAGCTTTTGCAGATGGATTTCACGTGTACTCAGTAGCATATATTGCATAAAGAATCAAGCTTCTGAATGATGTCCATCTGTCTTGAGTTATGAATATCTGTAAACTGGATGTTGAGATTCTAACTTGGTGATCCTCAAATAAGCTTTATGATGCTACCTCTCCCACCAAAATACGGTGTTCTGAAATCCAAAAGTACTGCTACAAATATTTTTTGTACATGGTCTGAAAGATCTATGGAGGGGGCTTCTACTCTCTACAATCATGTCCTTTTCTGGTTATCGATGCATTGATAGCAACAAAAGAAAACTCCATATTGATTTTCATGAAGAATATGAATGGCATTTGTGTTCTTCATGCTGATTGCTCCACCTAAATTTTTTGAACGCCTAAATTCAATATGAACTTGTGTCGCTAGTCAAATTGCCATTTGAGTAAGGAAGAAAGTGTACTTCCTTTGTAAGAGAATTACACCTGCATATAAAATCTTTCGCGTTGGTGATGCCTCTATTCATCGATTGGCTGTCGAGCAAAGTGTACGGTTGGAAAAAAGGGATTTGGATATAATGCAAAACCCTGCTAATTAGCTTTCATTTGCATTATATTAGGCATATAGGATTGTCTCTTCTAAGATTCAGGCGCTAGGAATTTACGGTGAGTTTTAAATATTTGGATTTGCTTATGTATTGTATACTCCCAATAAATCTATCATATGTTTTATATCGTAGCAACAAAGTTGTTGTATTTATGAAAAGTTTAGACAAACAATTGTCAAATATGACTCTAATAATACTAGGTAAGGGCATAAAAATTATAGTTCAATAGTTTTAATGTATCCGTACCATAATTGCAACTCACAATCTTATATAGTGTTATCTTTACATATCCGATTTTTTCATTTCATTTTTTGAGCTATATCCGAAATATTCACAATTATCTAACTTAACTAATTTTCCCGACTTTTTGCTTCCGGATTTTTGAGCAACACCATCTATTACCGATGTTTTAGTTTGTTGATAATATTATTATTCCTCGATATGCTAACTATGGTTTCTCCCAAAGCACCTAGTTTCTCACCGTTATGGACAATGTTGGATATTTACTTTGGAAACTTTTTCAAATGCAGCTTAAGTTTCCTACGGTGCGTTTGACACGTGGAGTTTTTGGGAGGGGAAGGGACTTTCCCATAAATTATGGAAGACTGCTCTTCCATCAGCTTTTATGGAAGCGAGGCTTTTTAAAAATGAACCCATTTTAACACTAAAAAAAACTTTGTGGAAGACTACTTTTGCACTTTACAGTTTCCACAAACACTAAAAAAACTCTGTGGAAGGCTACCTTTACACTTTACAGTTTCCACACAATAATATCTAACATGGAACTGGGACATCTGACTCCCACTTCCAAAAACTCCCACTTATCAAACATGCCCTTAATGAATAAGGTGGTCTTGGATTTACATCTAAATTACCGAATATATTTCCCAAAGTCGTTTATTGCTGCAACAATTTCTAAGACTAAATGAATTATCCTCGACTCTACTTTTTTTTTTTGAAACGGACTTCTTATTTATACTTAATTGTTCAATGTCAATTTTTTTTTGTATACCGTAAAGCCATTTTTCTTTGTTACAAGGTCATAGTTACTCTTAGTTATTAAATGTTAAGCTGGATGCTTTGGGGTGTGTCATGAAATTGAGAAATTTTTTTTTGAACCTTGAGGCTAATCAATGACATATTCACAACTACCCAAATTTAAAATTTGATGCACATCAATAATTGTGACCTTGTATTGAAAAGTAAATATCTTTTGGCATATTGTTTCATTTTCAAATGACTCTCTGCCTATGAAGCTGCACACCACCTTATACCCCAAAGATGCTCAACACGCACATTCGAACCGATTACTTTTTCTATGCTTGAGTATATATATTGTATAAAGGAGTTACTTAGGGTGAAATACTATTATCTAAAATTTCAGAATCTCCCTAAAAATTATAAAATAGTAGTTTTTGTAAATAAATTTGATTTCAGTTTTTCGATAATTACATCTCAGCCTCCAGTAATTGGAGGCTCTCTGTTTAATCTTTGGATATTTCATAGAAAGTGCCATTTGAGAATTTCTTCTTTTTGAACGTCTGTTGCACAGTTGAATAAGTTCTCTCTCAAAATTTTGGGTCCTAAAGGTGCGAAAAGAAAGTATGCTCCTTAGGGAAAATGCTGTCTATTTGCTCCCTCATTTAAATCCATCTAGGATTAATTTTAGGACCCCAAATTTTGGGGATGTAACCTCTTCAGCTCATAAATTGACCTCAATAAAAACTTTATCATAATTGTACTCTACATGCGCTTGAAAAAATACTATCTCAAGATTGAATACAGAGAGTCCAAAATGTTCAAAAAAAAAAAAACAAAAAAAACCGTCCAATATTTAGAGATTGAAAACTTATGATTTTTCTTTTGAGAATAATCATCAAAAGAATCACCTAATGATTCTTAGGTAGTTCTCAAAATTTGAGATTGAAAAAAATTCCCAAGTTGATCTTCTAATCCAGATGCACACTATATTCCTGCCAATACGTGCTCCTTAAAAATATTCCTTGGGTGCTTGAAGGAGTAATTGTGCTCGATAGGAGCACAAGATAAAAAACAGTGAACTTGCACTGTCGCGTACACATATACTATATCATTTTTTTGTAATTAATTGGAGTTGGTTATATAGATCCTCATTTGTCATTCTACTCTATTAAAGGCCATACCCTCAGTCGATAGGAGCAGAAGATCAAAAACAGAGAACTTGCACTGTTGCGCACACATATACTATATCATTGAAAATCTTTTTCTAATTAATTGGGGTTGGCTATATAGATCCTTATTTGTCATTCTACTTTATTAAAGGCCATACCCTCATATGAAGCCATAAGTCTTTATATCTTTTCTCATTACTTTCAATCATGTCTATTTGGATTTGCTTTTTTAAAACCTTCTACTTGAACTAATTTATACTTTCTAATAAGTGCACTATATTGGGTATGCGTCACACATGGCTGTCCCATCGAAATCTACTCTATTTTATCTCATTACTTATTAGTGTCAAACTTAAATTTTTTCAAATACATTAATTTGGAATTCTATCATTTATTGTCTTGTCATTCATCTAATGTAATATCTTCATCTCCACACAATTCATTCTATAGGTATATTGTTTTTTGACTACTCAATATTTCACCTCATAAATCAGAGTTGTCATCTAGAACATTCCTTAAACTTCACTGGCATACGGTGATCACATGAAACTCCAATAATTACATATACATCATTATCCACAAACTTTCAATGCAGCCTTGGTAATAGAGAGTTCATTTCAATCCCGCTTATGTGCAATTCACCAATAAAAAGAAAGACTGCGACGTGGAACGATCCCTTTCGTTCATGACTCAATAACTCTTATCATCATCGGTTGGATTGCATCCGATCGGAGCCGTCCGTCGAAGCCGCGGAAAGCACATTTTAAATGAATTATGGCCGTCCGATGCGAGTAAAAAGCCCGTACCGCGTGAAAGCTCTTCGAAGCCGAGGAATCGTAACTATAAATAAAGGTATGTAGTCTTGTTTCGCCAAATTTCAATTAAGAACTCCTCTCTCTTTGCTTCTTCGGTCCGGTTTCCGCAGGAATCCGGAGAGGTAAGATTTTCCTTTTCCGTTTTAAGATTTTTTATTCGTTTCTTTCCTTTGAATTTTGTTTTATCAGAGAGATTTAGGGTTTGCTGTGGTCTTCTTCAATTTGTTTATCTTTTTTTACTGCTTTCATACCTAGGGTTTGAATGATCATTAAGGATTGAATATTCGTTTAATCTTTAGGACCTGAATTTTTTTAGGTCTGGACGTGCATTAGGGCTCGGATGTTCAGTTAGGATTTGAATGTTATTTAGGGCTTCAATGCTCATTAGGGCTTCGATGTTATTTACGGTTTGGATGGCTTTTTGTGATGCCTGTATTTTATTCGGGGTTTAATTGTTTGCAGGGAAATTTTTTTATGCTCTTTGTGAAATTTAGGGTTGTATTTGTGGTCTGTTTTGTTTCTGGGGTTTAGTTTCTTCGGTTAGGTTTGCAGGGAGGAGAAGGTATAGCTAGGATTAATTGATTGTTATATTTGTGGAATTTGGTGATTGTGTTTCTTTTAGTGCACATGCATAGTGCCTGGTATCACTGAATCTTGTGCTTTGAGGTGCTCTACAAAAAGTGATTGTTCTGCTATGAATGCCAGGTTTTCATTATGATAATTTTGAATCTTTTAAGGATTTAATTTCATTTTCTTTCAATTATACACACGTCTGAAAGAGGCGCGATCTATTGGCTTGTCTCATTTTCATTGTGATTGTTTATTCTAATATAGTCTTCATCTTTGGCTGGGATAGTTTTTGATTAAATATTGACATGTCCTTTTATTTGTTTTCCCTCCTTGCATCTCCCCTCTTCCCTTGTTTTGTCTCTGTGCTATTTGACATTAATATGTTGTTTAATTTGTTTCTTCACCTTTCATCTATCTCTCTCTGCTTTTCTCTCTATCTCGTGGTTATTGGACATGAACATTAATTTATGAGATAATTTTAGATACATTTCATTGGATTCCCTCTCCTGGGAATGTTCTCATTCTTGCCATATTGTTTTCTGGAGATTCCGAATGCTTTTGGTATGCCTAATGTTTCAATCTTATTTTGTGATTGCTGAAGAAAAGCAGCAATTTTCAGTTTTAAAGATATTTGGGACATGCCTTTTGTTGGTTTGTCTTGGGGATACGCCTTTTGTTGGTCTATCTTTCTAAAGATATTGCATAGGCTTTCTTTTGATTGTCGAGTCTAGAAATACTCCGCTAGCTTTTCTGCTTTTGATCATTTATTGTTATTTAAATTTGTATTGTATATTTTGGGCTGGTTGAGTTTTGATTTGTTGGGTACATCTTTATCACTTTGTTGTTGAATAAACTGTAAGCTTGCAAGGAGGGTATTTGGGGCTTTTGATTGTAGTTATTTGGGTGGAAATTTTATCCTGTGGCATTAAAATGGTGTGATTTTATTGCTTTATTGTTTTTTTTTGGGGGTTTTCCAACATGCATTATACCAGTGAGTAGGCATTGCAATTAAAAATTGGTTATGGGGTTGTTTTTTATGGGACTATTGTTGGGAAAGGGCATGCGAGAAGTGCATGTGAAACATTATCTCCACCACTCACAAGCATGATTAAAGTGGAATCACATGGATGCATTTTTTATTATAGCTTATGGCCAGCTGATGTATGATATTGAATTCTTTTCATATCTTTTTTGCTCCCTCTCTAATGATGCATGATCTCTTTGTTGATCCACGGTTATCTGTAATCACTTAAGAATTCAAATATCTCTTCCCCCCGAGGTTCCATTTAGATCAGCCTTTCCTGGTCCCAATTCTCTGGATTTTGAAGTAGCCTTTCCTTGTTCCAATTCTCGGGCTTTTGAATTAGGCGGAGCAAATTGGGGAGGGAGGGAGGGGAGCAAGGGGAGGGATGGATTATTCCTCTTATTTCGTTCTTAGGGCTTTGATGAAGAGAAGGCGATGTTGTTCTCATCCCAGGGCTTTGAAGAAGAAGGAGAATGTTAGGCTGCCAGATTATGTTTTTCTCTTCCTGTTTAATGATTTTCACTCTTTATCTGGTTAGGAGACAGAGTGCCATTTATAAAAGAGAGAAAGATGGGTAGGGCATGGCAGAAGCATCATCAGGGTTGGGGGGTATTGGGTTGATAGAGGAAGGGTGGTTTTGAGAAGATAGTCCCTGATAATTTCCAGAAATTAAAGTAGCAAGTCAAATAAAAATTGAATTTTTAGTTGCTATCTTTTCAATGCCAATTTTGGGATGAAACTACCAGCTGTTTTGATTTGTGTCCAAAAATCTAGTGACATTCAAATGTGCTCAAACCCCAAAGAGGTTTTATTTTTTGTCATACAAACTGGCACCTAACTAAGTATCACCAAGCCTTATTATCAATGCTGATGGATGGAGTTCAGGTATCAATTGCAATTTTTATGCGAAGTGGTAGTTACAATAGTCTCGTTTTGTTCTGCAGTTTATCATTTGATTTGCTTGTGCTGTCTTATTCTAATGATTATCCTTGCTTTGAAGTTTTATGGAATTATCCATCTTTTGTGCTTAAAGTTCAGGTTCATCAAATGTGTCTCTATGTGTACCGTTGTCTTGTGTTATGCTGGAAACCATCTTAACTTTCACGCTTTTGATAATTTGCTGTTTGTTGCTAATTGAACATCCTTTGGGCTCAATGATGTTTGACTCTGTGTGTGCCCCCCGTGCACACATACACACACTCACTGGGCATCTAAAGAGTGTTTAGAACAATTGAATAAATACGATCTTATGGTATCAGTGCTCCTGGAGTTAATTTTGGTTGAGAGTGATTGTTCCTTTTGCAGATGGCTCGTACCAAGCAAACTGCTCGTAAGTCCACTGGAGGAAAGGCTCCCAGGAAGCAGCTTGCCACCAAGGTTTGATATGGAGTTCTATTTCTTTATTGTTCCCTTCAGCATTTTATAATATTGATTTGTTTTGGGATATTCCTTGACTTCCTGGTGTATGTCAGGCTGCTCGTAAATCCGCTCCAACCACTGGAGGTGTGAAGAAGCCTCACAGATATCGCCCTGGAACTGTGGCTCTCCGGTATGAACATTTTGAAAGTGTAATTCTTATCATTGTAATTATAATTGTAATTGGGATTAAAAATCTTTTGGATGGTGAACTAGGTTAGAGTTAGCTATTGTGGTTTCATCCTCTTCATAAATTTTTATAAGCCTGCGTTCTCTTAAGAAAGGAATGAAGCAAACAGAATGGCCAGAATGGTGTGCAATCCATTGGTTTGGTAGCTCTTCAGTTGAATCTTTGTATTGTTTGTGGTTTAGCGTGTTAAATTGGGATGCTTTTTCCATTGAATGCTTCAAGAAGCTTCTAGCCGTGGTTTCTCTCAGCATTGTTTTGTGTTTTCAAACTTTGGTTGGTGTTTTGTCGCAGCGAGATTCGTAAGTATCAGAAAAGCACAGAGCTGCTGATTAGGAAGCTGCCTTTCCAAAGGCTTGTTCGTGAAATTGCTCAGGACTTCAAGGTAATTTGATTTGTACAATGCTTCTATTGGTATCTTCCATGGTATGATTCCAATGATAAAACATCTTCAGTATGTTCTTCTCGATGATGTTGCTGTTTATTCATTGTATTACTTTTTGAATGGTGCTATATTTGTATGTATGCAAATGAAATTCGGGTTTTGTGTGTGCAGACTGATCTGCGTTTCCAGAGCCATGCTGTGTTGGCCTTGCAAGAAGCAGCTGAGGCTTACTTGGTGGGTCTCTTTGAGGATACTAACCTCTGTGCCATCCATGCCAAGAGGGTCACCATCATGCCTAAGGACATCCAGCTTGCAAGGAGGATCAGGGGCGAGAGGGCTTAGGATTGATCCATGGCTCATCTCTCTACCATGGACCTATGCTACTGGTGTTTCTGATTTCCTAGAGAAGACTTACTGATGTTTCTGTTGCTTTCATTTCATGAGATAGAAGGTCATCTATACTAATTTGGTAGGGATTCATTTATTTTTGTGTGTGCATGGGAATGTATAATTCTACTACTACCCTATAGGCATTAGCTTTAATTCTGTTTCCTTTATACTTCTGCAGTGACGTATGTGTAGTCTTGATGGGGAGAACTGAGGATGATGATACTTGGCTTTCTTCAATGGGTGTTTTGTGTTGGCATGATGCTTTTGGTTTAAATTAGTTGCTGATTTTAACCATTTGTTTTATCATCGTCCATTTAGTGATGGTTTAAATTAGTTATGATTTTGGAAGCGGTGCAAATGAGATGTTTAATGGCTATATTTTTGCATAATAGGACTTTTCAGAATGTTTTTATCTGGGTCATTTTACTAAAAATAATTAGTTTTATAGTGTTATTTTCTATGCAAATGTGTGTAGCACAGATGATTTTTATTTGAGATGCCTCATGAAAGCAAATAAGAGCATTGTTTTTTCAGCTTTTTCTAAAGCTTGTGTGAGATTTGAGATTTCATTGAAGCTGCTGTTCTAACGCATTGTGCAGATTATTGTGCCCCGTTGCAGCTTTTGTGTTTTGATCTTCATTGTTAATGTGGTTTTCCAAATTGGCATGTTTTTAAGTTTTTTAAAGTATGTTAATGGGGAGCATGTTGAATCTTGTAAAAAAATAGGGGAAATAGCGAGATGGGTGGGTTCTAGGCATGTTGAGGAAGATGATTAGGAGTTGGAAAGTTGCATGATTAGGAGTTGGAAAATGCAATTTATTGAGTTCTCTAAGAACGAGTACGGGACTGGTGTAGTTATCATCCTACCCTTCCAAAAAGGGCAAAAAGGGTTTTAATGCCCACAGCTGAGGCTCAACTTCCCATGTACAAACATCACAGAATATGAGGCTTTGATAAAAGGCTGTGGACTTCTAATGGAAAGGTTATGAGTCATTGACGATTCCCTCTTGGTAAGAAACCGGACCCAAGGGGTATGGAAAGTGTGCGAAGAAAAATTGATTCCCTACCATAAAAAGGTGAGGCGCCTGATAAGAAATTTTCAAGAAATCATGTAGCTAGGGCTAGCAATAGATGTGTGGATATCCTAGCTACTTTAGCCTCAAAAGGGAGACCGTGGTAAGGAATATAATGAACATCCAGAAGGAGCCAACACAGAAGGAAGTCCTAATAAGATTCTCAGTAAACTTTGTCGTCTTAGGTGACCAAATTTATAAGAAATCTTTTGACGGAGTCCTAAGATGCGTCGACTAATGATGCCCAATTTTAAGCGAACTTGGGTGTCAAGAATCTTATTGGACTACAATGACGATGGGTTCTCATCCACGTGCCATTCATGCCCTTAAATTCAACATCACCAATGGCCTTACGCACGGTGGGCCCTCAGTCATAGGAATGATATCCCCTTAACGGCCACTTAATATTTCACCAAGTGGTTTGAAGCAGCTGCCTTCACAAAAATAGAGGGATAACTTGTAGCTCGCTTCATTAAGAACAACATAATCTTCAGATTCGGAGTCCCAGAAATAATTTACATATAACTAGACAAATTTTAAGAATGCCACAGTAACTTGGGTATGCAAATAATTTGCCATAACCAAGAAGTTCTCAACACCATATTATCCGCAATCCCTCATCAGGATCATTTTTTGAAATATAGAGAATGGGAAGGACTGACACCAGAGACTATAAGATGCCATATGAGCCTACTAAACCAATGTGAAGACACCTATGGGTATGATGCCGTATTCATTAGTATATGGCACAGAAGCGGTAATGCCTATGGAAATCGACATACTGTTCCTTAGGATACTCGCTCACCATGCCTCAAATGAAAAATGAAAAAGAATTACATGAAGCTTGCCTAGCCTCCTGCAACACCCTTGACGAGAGGCGGCTTCGAGCTTGCAATACCATGAGAAGCTACCATAGGTGGGTCAAGCAGGCCTACCTAAGGAAGGTCATTCTAAGACAATTCCAAGGAGGCGATATGGTGCCAAAGAAGATATTTCATTCATATGCCAATACTCACCCATTAGCAAAATTCAAACTTAATTGGAAGGGCCATTCATAACAACCGAGATGCATCCTGTGAACTCTTATAGGTTGAAGAATAAAGAGGGGTTGTAAATAAATGACCCCATCAATATCATGTAACTTAAGAGGTACCACCCATAAGGGAACCAAAAAAAAAAACAAAAAAAGAAAAGAGAAAAAGAAAAAAAAGAGAATGAAAAAAAAAAAGAAAAAAATGGTGGACATGGTAAAAACCCAAACAAAGGGCTCATAGGTAAAAATGCCAAAATAATTGGACATGTTGAAAATCTGAAAGGGCGGCATGAGTAAAAAAAAAAAATGACAGACATGGTGAAAACACTATGGGCAAAAAAGTTGCAATAAAAATTATAAGAATAGTGAAAACCTGAAAAATGGTGTTATTGCCCCATGCCTCACATGAAAACACCAAATATCGCATTGCAATGAGGAAGGATTTGGATCATTCGAGATCCCATATACAATCCAAGGACTGCGATCTCCTTGGTTCACTTGAGAATCCAAAGAAAGTATGAGTAGCTAAGGGAAATACCCTTCGGCCTTTAAGACATGAGTTGAAGTGAAGCCAAAGGAAATCTATTGATAAACAAAGAAAAGGGGTGGGCCCCAAGATAAGAGGTACTTGAGAATTCCGAGTCCTCTTGATCCAGTCGAAATCGGCTCGAATCTAATAAAATATTTCAACCTAATCACAAAATTTCTTTCTAAAAATTGATCACTTTTAGAAAAAATCCATTTAACTCGTAAGAGCTTTTGTTTGGGGCAAAATGTTTTCCAAAATTAGGATTCTAAACTAATTTATGGGTAAAATTGAACCTTAAAACCGTGCCTCTTCTTTATCCCTACCAAAGGGGCCACATGTGACTAAACTGTAAGGCCCACCTCCTGTTTTAGAAGAAAGATTTGAAATGCATCATCTTCAAAACATTTTCAAGGCTATTTTAAAAAATGGGATTTATAGTCCATGGTTGCATAACTCTAAACCGCTAACTACCACTTTATGGAAATGTCGTTTTCCTCGCTAATGACGAGACTAATCAGTGAAAGATGATTTCTTTGTCGCCCATGTTCCTGAGCAATAAGGGGTGACCCGTTCTCTATATGTGTGCATTCACGAAACAACCTAGCAAAATTGGAAGAGTCAACCTATTAACATTGTGACGCATTGCTCACCCATGAGAGTATGTGTACGACCGGTACAATAACTGACCAACCCGTATGCACGCTACGAGTACGATCCACATAAGTAAAAGAAATCTGATAACGTGGGTGCAATCGATAAGTGATTCATCCGATTCTCATTCAAACTAAAATCTCTAAAAGAAGTACGATCAATAGATGTCTATCCGATGCATATGATTACTTGACATAAGTAAGCACATCCAAAGGACATAAAAATGTATGTGGTGGATGAATAAACATAAAAAACTACGCAAAGAAAGAAAAGTCAATCACAGTAGGGGTGCAAAAGCCCAATAACAAGTTATCTAAAGTATAAGGGACGTCAAAATACCAAAAGAAAGAAGACAGAAAAGTTCATTATTGCCTGCCCGGGGCCAGGATTAGAAGAGTATGCCTCCTGGTCACCTTCGAGCTGATGAGACTTTAAGTCCACTCGTGTGGACCCTTGGCTACCCGTCCTCAAAGATCTCTGGCTGCCCGTCCTAGCATAAGTCGGACCCAACACTCGCTCCAAAGGTAGTGGCCGAGGATGATGTTGTTGACCAGGTTGTGTCAGGGAAGCCAAATCACGTCTAGTTGCCATAATAGAAGCTTCAAGTATCCCTATTAGATACTCGCTGCTCTCCTGTACTGCCAGCACATGGTTTGTCAAAGAAAAAAAATGGATCACTAATATGCAAACAAGACAAAAGGGGAAGAAGAAAAGAGAGATAAAAGCAAGTATCCATTCGACACTCAGTCTCAGAATCCACCTAATTGAGTGCCACCTGGGCACATAGACAATCCAGATCAGCAAGGGTAGCTGCTAGAGCCTTCATTGGGGTAGCAGGAGAGGCACTCGAAGAAGGGTCACTAGATAAAGAAGGAACCATTTGGGGAAAAGTCCCACTTGCCTCTCATATTGCCTCTGTAAATGACTGAATCTCTCCTGCAAGTCTCTAAAGGCCTCCTTCCCCTGAGCTAACTCGGAACTTATCCGCTTCACCTTAGATATGTCATGAGCAAACCTCTCGAACCATGGAGAATGGAAGACAAAGTACTGCACTGACCTGTAATACTCTTGATGGTATTCTTTAGCATTTGAAGAGGTGTTGGAAATGGCCTCTTGAAAATCATGTCGCTGGCCTCACCGAGTAATGAATGGTTCCATCTTCACTCAGTATCGATGGTCGAGACGAATACGAGGGACAATGAAGACCTGAGTTAGCAGAAGTTCGAGCTGAGAAAAACCAAAATGCTTGAACAAACGACCCGGGTGGTATGCCTCAATGATGTCCATGCAAATGAGAGGTACAATTGTAAGAAAAACACTGCAGGATCCTTGGATAATCGAAGTGTTCTCATCATCAACATAGAGATTCCAATCAATCTGCATTAAGAAAATGTGCAAATATGATCAAGGGAAAAACAAGAGGATGATCATAAAACAAAGATCAAAGAAAGGTCATACCTCCCTCTCCTACAAAATATCAAAAACCAGGGTGTAATGGGACACCGAACAACTCTGAACCTTCTCACACTAGCCCTACACCTAGTGGTGACTATGAGGAAAACACTCAGCATCTCCCAAAGGAATGGGGCGAGTAACAACAATATGTTCCTAGGCCCAAAACTGTGCCACAAGAGACGAAAGAAGTTCACGAAGCAATCTAAGAGAGCGAAGAGAAAGTCTTCAAAAGAAAATGTTTGATTTTCAAATACCTGGAGAAAGGCTGTAAAACCAGCAACCTAGCAGAAACCGTTCACAGTAACCTTTTGTATGCCATGAAAAAAAAAGGGTCAAAATAGCAAGCCCCCAAGCCACTTGACGAAGAGAAGCAAGGTCCCTTACTGCCTAAACACATTGTACCTAGGGATTGCCCTTCGATGCATCCGAGAAAAGGAGAGCCCCGAAAGATTATGCTAGAAAGACCTGAAGGGCTTGCTCATCCCCTAAAAACAAATTGCCACCCTCGGGAGTCTCGAAAGAAGAATAAAAAG